TCCTAGTGGAGAGAGATATTGACAAGTCCATCTGAAATCAATCCTTATTCCACAATTTTTTTTTACTGGCCACAAACATATATAAATCATGAATTTTTCAAAGCGAGTCAATAAGTCGTGTTTACGACAATCTTCTAGTCCTTTTATGCAATTATGAATTCCATTGAATTTTATCAATTTGAACACAACTTATTCTTTTGGAACTGACGTAACAAACTATGTGAGACAGAAAAGTTAGCAATACAACTCACAATTTGCTTCTTCATTGCTTTAGGGGATCAATCACAGAGATAGTGTAAGTAGGGATAGATGGCTTGTACAGTTGCTTTAATAAGAGCACCTCTACCCCTATATATAAGACAATAGTTTTTTTTCCTTGTTACATTCCAGTGATCTTGGCCACTAAAGTATGTCACCTTTTTTCTTCACAAGCAGTTTGTATATCCAAGATATATAAAAGGAAAGTTGATGTTGGTGAAGCCAATATAAAGCAATTCATTGTACTAAGTTCCTGCTATCTGTGGAATTTCAGGAAAGGACCGAACTACAAGGGTCCTTACCCTGCATTTCTACAAAAGGCTATTTCCACACCTTCTGGTCACATGTCATCAACTTTACTAGTTACGCCAATGGATTGATTTAATTCCTTAATTTCTATCAGCATATGTGTTTGGAGCCACCAAATAGCAAGATTTATTTATGTTCACTAGTTGACCAGAGATGTGTTCATAGTCCTTGAAGGCGTTTAGCATAAGAGCTAAAGAGTTGCTTATTACCTGAGAAAAAAGAACAGTATAAGTTAGTAAATGTGGCACTACTTTTCATCACACAATTCTAGAGAATATGAAAGCAAGACTATTTACAAAGAATTAAGCACACAATAAATAAATCAAGACTTGGTTGACTTGCCATGTTAAAGAACACATTTATGTATTATGCCTAAAAAAAGTGTGATTACGTGTTCGGATAAAAGTATTGAATTTATAATAAGATTTATGTATTGGTAAGATGTTGTATTGGTAAGTTGTTCTTTATTAAAATAACTAAACTAGAATAACCTTAATTTGTCTTTTTTTAGAAAGAGTAAATCTAAATGTAACATTGTAAAAAAAAAAGAGGAACACTATATATCTTAGTGAAGAGGAAGTTACGAGACTTATATTGGAAAAAGTATTTTTGAGAATTTTTAAAAAAAAATGAAGGACAAAATAGTAAGAGACCAGGTCAAATCAAGAGTGTTCATAACCCAAAAATTAATAAGTTCGGAATAATCAACTTATGACTTTTGATTGGTCTTAGTGGTTTATAAGTACTTGAATGTTTACTAATTAATATGTACGTAAGCTAAAAATATTGTTTATAAGTTAGTTTAACGAGCCTATAAGCTTAGTCAAATACCTTCCAAATATCTCACTTAATTTTGTACTTTTTATCTCTCAAGTGAGAAGCGATAATGATCAAGAAATCACAAGTGTATTTTTTATTTTTATTTTGTAAGATTCATACATAAATTATCAGGTGTTTGTGTTTTCTATCTAAATTATCACTAACTATCATTAACTCTTCTTTCTGTAATTCAGTAGAAGCATTTCAAAAGGGATAATGCATAAGTACCCCCCTAGCCTATGCTCGAAATCCCAGAGACACACCTAACCTTTACTAAGGTCCTATTACCCCCCCGAACTTAATTTATCTATAATATTCTACCCCTTTTCGGCCTACGTGGCACTATCCTTGAAAAAAATGTCAACATGCGTTGGGCCCACAAGATTGTGCCACGTAGGCAAAAAAGGGGTAGAATATTACATATAAAATAAGTTCTGGGGGGTAATAGGACCTTAGTAAAGGTTAGGTGTGTCTCTGGGATTTCGGGTATAGGCTGGGGGGGTACTTATGCATTTTCCCTTCTTTTAAAGGGAAAAGACCCAACTATGCCATTGAACTTTGAGAAAAAAAGGGCCAATTTTTTTAGTATACAAATTAAGAACCGTATTTACACCAAAATAGCAATACTTTTTTTTTCATTCATATAGCAATATTTTTTTTTAAAAGTAGAATTTAAATATAAAAAAAAAAGATTTCCAAATCAGCCAAGCTTATCACTATTTCCATAAATTTCTCCAATTATTTTACCTTCTTTATTTATTCAAATTTGTTATATATTATCTTTCAATAGAGGTTTCCTACCAAAACAAAACTCCCCTTCTCTGATAAGAACAACTATCGAAAAATGAATACCAATAATTTTTCAATTCTAATTCAACACAACGGACGATGGGACTCATCAGGTAATAGTATAAAATAGTTCGTATGATGTTTTATTACGTGGTTATATATGATTTATCACAAATATCTATTTTGCACTTTTTGATAGTTATTCGTTTGGTTTAGTTTGTCTATTTTGGTGAAATTGAATTCATCTAATTTGGTTTATGTTTTGGATCCTTGAAATTTTGGTTTAATTACAATAACTACATATGATTTGGTTGTAAACTGAAGTGTCAATTTTATATATATTAAAGTTTAGGTTTCATATGATTTGGTTTGAAAGTATGTTACATTATTGTCCGTATTATAGTTATTAAGTTGGTGTATATAATATAATAATTAGAAAAAAGGTTCATATGTTGATTGATGGTATCCTAATAAAATTTAAAATTGAAAATTTTGAATTGCTATGTGATCTAGTACATATGATGGTATATTTGTGCTACGAATTGACACCAAACTAATAGCCTGATGTATGTATCAATTTGAAAAATTGGATTGGTATGTGATCTGGTACATATGATGGTATATCTATTGCTATGAACTGACACCAAGCTAATAGCCTGATATATGTGTTGGTGTATTTTTTGGTCCAATTTATATTGGTGTATTAGACATATGTTGTTAATGAGTATTTTTGTTATTTGCCACCAAATTTTTTTAAATTTTGACTAACAAATATTTGTAATGTCGCAGGAAAGTATCTGAATTTAAAGATTGAAGGAGTGATATGATGTGGACACCAATTATCAAGACTTGATTAATACTACTGCTTCTCAATTAGGTGTAGACACGATCGTTTTTGAGTTGTAACTCAAATATGTTGTGACTGATCCGTTCCCACCATTGAAGATTCATAGTGTTGAAAAATACACCAAAAAATCAATTTTAGATACACCAAAGTGTTTTATGTATATTTGAGTATATATTGGTGAATAAGACTTTGTAATGAGTAAATTGAAATTTGTATATGAATTTTTGTGGTAATTATATTAATAATAGCACATATAAAAGGAGAAGAAAAAGTGCCACATGTCAGCACCACACTAAATCAGATTTTAAAAAAATTAAAATTAATTATATGTATATATTTATTAAAAGAAAAAAATAGATTTCAACATGATGAAATTCCTTATAGTCATGCAATTGTTGCTATCGGATACAATAACAAACATGGTGAAAACTATTGTTCAGCCTATTACAGTAATAAAGATTTTCAAAATATTTATGCAATATCTATTGATATATAGATTTCAACATGATGAAATTCCTTATAGTCATGCAATTGTTGCTATCGGATACAATAACAAACATGGTGAAAACTATTGTTCAGCCTATTACAGTAATAAAGATTTTCAAAATATTTATGCAATATCTATTGATATATAGTAGTATATTTAAAAGGTATAAAATAGTAATAATTATTGGTATAAAATAGTATATTTATATATAGTAGTAAAATAATTATTGGTAAAATGATGGTTATATAATTGGTATGTATGTATGTTTATATATTACATGGTTGCATATTTGGTGAAACTACGATGCAGTTATAATTGTGAAAATAATATGCATACTTGATGAAACCTACATGTTTTTTACCTAGATGAAAATATGATAAAAATGTGAGAGAATGCTTTCATTAATAATATGATTTGATTGAAATAAAAAATTAAGAGAGAGAAAATCAATATATAGAAAAACAAAGTAACGTAAAAGAGTAAACCTGTGGTTGAAAAAGTCAAAAAAAGTAAACAATAATTATCAATCCCATAAAATTAGCACATAACCTCCCCTAAAAAAGGTAATAGATACGGATACCAATATATTTTACAAATAAAATTAAATATTTTGTTATGTTTGTAATTAAAAACTTAGTTTTGTAAATAAAAAAGAGTATATGTATATTGTTAACTAAAGTCTTAAATAGTATATTCTTGTAATTTTCCCAGGAAAAAAATTCATAATCTATTCCATCCGTTTAGAAAATTAGTTTATCTATGTCATTTTCATTTGAGAAAATGTTCATCCATATCATTGTTAGTTAATTAAAATAGTTTTAATTTTGCTTAGTTATACAACGTTTACTAGCTAGCTATTCATGTCTGAAATTAATACACAATTTGTTTTACAATTTAAAAATCAACATAACTAATACTTGTATAAGTTATGAGGAAATTTGTACATAATATTATCTCAAATGGACTGTCAATGCAATTATAGAAAATATAATAACAAAAGGATAATGACAATTGAGAAAAAGGTAATTAAGAAATGATGCATAAATCAGAGGTCAAAAATATGATAAAGAATAATAATAATAATGAGATATAAAAATCAACGTAACTAATACTTGTATAAGTTATGAGGAAATTTGTACATAATGTTATCTCAAATGGACTGTCAATGCAATTATAGAAAATATAATAACAAAAGGATAATGACAATTGAGAAAAAGGTAATTAAGAAATGATGCATAAGTCAGAGGTCAAAAATATGATAAAGAATAATAATAATAATAATACAAATAATTAAGCACACAATAAATAAATCAAAACTTGGTTTACTTGCCATGTCTTAATTGGCTGATTAGAGGAATTTGTTGCCACCATATTTGACAATTTTGATTAAGATGTGAAAGACTTGATTGAATGGAAAAATCTCCTAAAAAGAGATCTTATTGCTATTCAAAGTCTCAAAACCACAGGTTACTAGTACTAATATTTGCACTAATGGAGAAAGCCTTCACTATTTTATTCTTAACAATACTCTTGTTGCCTCACTATGTTATGGCCCAAACCAACATTAACACTGATCAATTAGCTCTTCTCTCTTTTAAATCCCAAATTAGTTCCGACCCCTTTCACTTCTTGAATGAAAGTTGGTCTCCTGCTATTTCTGTTTGCCGTTGGGTTGGAGTCATTTGTGGTTCTCGTCACCCGCGAGAGAAGACGTTGAAGCTTTCCAACTTGGCTCTTACAGGCAGAATTCCCCGTGATTTTGGAACCCTCACATTTCTTATTTCTCTTGACTTGGGAAGCAACCATTTCCATGGAAATTTGCCTCAAGAAATGGCACATTTGCGTCGGCTAAAGTTTCTTGATTTAAGTTTAAACAGCTTCAGAGGGGAAATTCCTTCTTGGTTTGGGTTTTTACACCAACTTCAAGTTGTAAAGGAGTAACAGTTATACTGGTTCCATTCCTCCGTCACTCTCGAACGCCTCAAGGTTGGAGACTTTACAAATACCTGCCAATTTACTTCAAGGAAACATCCCCGAAGAGATTGGCAATCTCCACAACCTGAATTGATTATCCATAGAAAATAATCAGCTTACGGGTTCTATACCATTCACAATATTCAATATTTCTAGAATTGAAGTCATTTCATTTTCATATAATAGCCTATCAGGAGATCTTCCCAATGGTTTATGCAGTGATCTCCCAATACTCAAAGAGCTTGATCTATCAATAAACAAGCTTCATGGGTCATATGCCTACAAGCTTGTCAAATTGTTCAAATTAGCAAAAACAAAGAGACGTACCGGGTACAATATAACCAAATGTTGCTAAGGTTTTTGTGTATAAATAAATCACTCTCATCTTCACGGAGCAGTTTTGAAAAACCAAAGTCACTTAGGTGGGTAACCATATCCTCATCCAACAAGACGTTACTAGGCTTTAGATCACAATGAATCACAGGTAAAGAGCACCCATGATGGAAATATTCCAACGCACATGTAACATCTATGATAATGCTTAGTCTCTGGCTGATATCTAGGAAGTAGTTGTGTGAATACAAATACTTTTCAAGACTTCCATTAAGCATATACTCAAGCACTAAAGCCTTAAAATCAAGGTTGGAGCAACTAGTGATGACTTTCACGAGATTCCTATGGCGAAGGCTGCGCAAAACTTCACATTCTGTATCAGAACTCTTGAATGTCGCTTCCAGTTGCAGATTGAACACTTTAGCTGCAATGGCAGTCCCACTTCAGAGAACCCCTTTGTAAACAGAGCCAAAACTTCCAGAACCAATCAGATTACTGATTCACTTAGCGAGAGTACTAATCTGATTGGTTCTGGAAG